GTGCAATGGGACACTCTATTTAACTTGACGCGAATTTCCCTAATACGCGCGCGACTCGTCCGCTGACTCAACCTTCTTGCCGCGCGACGGGCCTCCTGGGGGGTACCCCTGCTGAACACCAAGGATCGGAGATTATGGTTTGTCTTCGTAATCAAGAAGGAAAGCGTGATAAACATAGCACCGATATCTTCCCTTTTGGTAGCAACAACACAATGTTTCCAAAAGATGTTCATGAATCGCATGAAATGAAGTCGGAAATAGAACTGTGGGAAACAATGCCTTCTTGTCATTTTTCTCTGCGGTGGAGGAACTGTCAAAATAATTTTTCTTCGATGATGCATTTGTTAGGAAAAGGAACAGTAGAATGGGAGTCACATTCAGTCCGGATAGCGGCTACTTTTCCCACTTCTGGCTTCAGGGTGGTCTCAAAAACCTGATAGAGTGAAAGCTTTGAAGAGGGCGATTCCGCCGAGAAGTCGGTCGTCAGTAAGGACTAATAACAACCTCGTAAGCTCTTCTGGAACTTACCTATCACCGGACTATTTCTGAGCTTTAAGAACTGGGATTCTAGATTAGCTAATCTTAGGTGGCATACACACTCAATTGAAAGTGCAACCGAGAGTGGGAGTCGGAGTGCATGGCGCAGTCGAAGGCATGCATTTAGTGCTCAACTTTTGCCCGCTATCCCGCAAGCCCTACAAGCCCTACATGTACCCCTTAGGAGTTAGCAGAAGGGAATAGGCACAGATAGCATATGGTTCACTTATAGTTACCCCCCCCCCCATTCATATTCCGTTATTCTTTGCCTTTCCAGGGGAAACTGTGCTTGCGATCGATATCGTGTCTATCATCGAGAAGAGCACGTAGAACCATAATGGAAAAATTTATGGCCACCTTCTTAATTGAATTCCTTCGGAAATAAACGACTGCGTCGTTGTTGCCGAACTGGTAGTAATGTGCTGTTTTTAATACAGAAAACTACTAGGTAACATTAATTGGTAGAACCTAGCCGGTTCAGACAGCAATGTTTCGATCGAAGGATGCTCATTCGCCAATCTGACAAGTTCCTAGCAGGATACATATGCAAATATTTTGACATTCATATTGGTTAGAGATGAATTTATTGAAGGTGGAGTTTACTACCAGAAGGCAGCCCATCAGGGTGAATAACGGTCGAGCAATCCCTCGACCATGGCTCTCTACTGCGCGAGAGTAGTGTCGAGAGTGAATGAATGCGCGGAGAGCACAGACGGCTCGCAGGTGGCGAGAGTGAGCATCCGCGTGGGAGAGCGTGAAAGAATCCTCGACGAGCCGTTGTCGTTTCCTCAAGCGATTTTCACACTGCAGCCCATTAGAGTTAAGGAAGAGGTGGTAAGTGGTGCCGGGATGAAGAAATGCCATGAGAAATGGCTCAGAACTTGATAGGACCTCATCCGCATTGATGCGTCTCACTGTTGCTACCGCCTTTCAACTCGTAGCGCTCGTCATACTGGCCAGAGCGGCTAGAGCCAGCAACGAGAGGGTGGGCGTGTCGCGCGGATAGCGCTTCGGAGAGGGCCATGCTAGGTTTCCGGGGGCATAACCATCGTTGAGAAATGCGTGTCGGTTTGCATCTAGTGGGGGGGGGCTTGTTTTCCGGCTAGAAAAGTTTCCCCTTCCTCGACCTTTGACCTTATCGTGAGATCTTCCTTCAAAGGCACATGTTGCAACAACCCAGGTATTGCACTAGAAAATGGAAGCAAATGTGTAAGGGTGACGGCAAATAAAGCAAGGACGGAAAGATCCCGCCAGATTTTTTTGGAAGTAAGGACAAATTTTGTTGGACCAGCCTACGCAATAGACGATTAAAAGACACGAAGCAGAAACAGAATCGTAGAGAGAGAGCCTAGGAGAACGCAACGAGTCGGCAAGATCCGACGAATGCAAAGCGAAGAGCCCGCCTTAAAAAACCTCTCCGCATATCCTGCCAGGTTGTCAATTAGCGTAAAAAATAATCATAATCTTGCTGGGCTGATTCAAAAATGCCTTTTTGGTCCATCACTACCAGCTCGTGGAACAGGTGAGGTTGGATGAGGGTGCAGATCAAATATCTGGAACGTCAAAATTCCATCTGGCCTCTGAACGGTGTGCAAGGAGGGCGCAGGGGTAGAACTTTGAAACAGAGAATCCGTTGGCAAAATAGGGGACTGCCCTGACCAACTCTAGACCAGGTTAGCTTCATTTTAATTTTTCTCGATTGTAAAACAAAAAAAAAAATAAATCGAATTCATATTTCTTGCACATGTGAATTCGCAAACTATTGGGGCTACAATAACTCCGTATGCATCAGTCAAAGGCGCCATGGTTTAAACAAAAACGAGATTTCCTGGAGATAAGATCAGCCACCATCCCGTTCAGAACGCAGAAGCGCCGTCGCAAGTGCAAGACTAACACACCACAATTTGAACGACGACGGCCCCCTCCGAAGAAATCTGGTAACTTGTGATTCATGGTGATAGAATAGTTTGGTAAATGAGTGTTGTAATTAGTGACAACTGATAGAATACAACTGCAACAGGCTAATCATTTCATTGGCAGAAAACATTCACATTTTGTGGAGGCTGTCGTCACTTGTGGTGTGTGGTCTGCACTCGACGCGCTCACTGGTTCCTGAAACGGAAGGGCATGTCCATTGGCGCCCTCATAATTTCCGCCGTTTTGGGTTTAGCGCCCTGGGTTTGACCCCGGGTCAGCCACTGTGATGAGTAACTTTCAGAATCCGTAGGAAACGGCGAATATTAACTGATGAACAAGACTAGAGGTTTCCCAAACTTAGTCCGCCAGTCCCGCAAGTGAAAAAGCGCACCCTGAAAAAGTTTCTTTCCCTCTGTCCTACGAAATTGTAGTGCCAATACCACAAAAACGATCCCTCTCTCAAAATTTACGAATGCAAGCCTATTTCGCCAATCTTTCACCCAAGTTGAACCCTCGACGGTCGAGCAACATAAAACTATTGGCTATCATTCCAAGAAGCGTCGAATCGGCGAGCAGTTCCCTATTTCTTCGCCATCATCAGCCGGTTGCCTATTTCTCCGTCGTCGCCAAGCAGCGATATATTGTTTTACAAAAAAGTGTATGTTTAGTCTGTGGTGCATACCAATGGCCAGTTTCGTCGATACTTAAAGACCTATTTCCCCACCTCCAAGATGGAAATGAATCACTCAAAAGGAGCCTATTGGAAGTGAAGTGGACCGCTTGTGCTGAAAAATGAGAAGGAATTTTGACAGAAAGTTAGCATCATGAATTTCCCACTTCTCACAGGCGGATGTGCAGTGACGACGATACACTGTGCGCAGAGGAGAGAGAATAGGCAAGAGTGTACGACGAATGAGAGGGCGCAGACACGCTGCCGTTCTTGCGTTTCTGCACGGTCGTTCCATCGCTGCTAATAACAGAGACACTATGAAGCCCAAATGGCCTTTGTCGCACATTTTTGGTGCTACGAAAGAGCACATACCTACCGCAGAGAATAGCTCTATCGGCGCTATCGCAATATACGGGGGCATCCTCTAAGACTAAGCCTAGAAGGAGGGAGGAGCTCCAGCGAAAATTAAAACTCACCTCACGCACCTTGGAGTCTCTTTGTTTGCTCACGCAACCTGGAGCCTCTTCTTCTCCACCTGAGGCTTAGGCCCGCTTTTAACAGAAAAGACATGTTCATGGGGCTTCAGATGCATTGCCATCAGAATGCCCCCATATATTGCGATAGCGCCGTTCTATCTTCTCGCGGAAGCGATTGAATCACCGAGCTTGACTGTGAACGTGACTTCTCGAGTCCCCCTTGGAAGTAGCGAATTCGGTATGCTGTCATCACTCAGTCACACGGTCTTCCATCGGTGTCATAGCCGTGCAGGCCGTTCCACTGAACTGAAAACAGTGTGTCAAAGACCATCAACTGTGTGCAGGACTTGAAATACCATCTGCTGTGAAATTAAGAAAAAAAAAACACCGGCACGGAAGGCAATACGTGACGTAGCAGAAGTAGACTTCTCGATGCTGACTGAACCTTTCCAAAAGTGATAGAAAGTTTGATTTGGGTTGCCACTGTCACGATTCCACCCCTTGAATGTCGGCGAAATAGCGCTAGCATTTCACTGATTCTTTATAGTCACTCGAGTGGGTATTTTGCTTTCACAATGATTTGTAGGAGCAGTTGAAGGTTTTGTCAATAACCCCACTTCTTCGCTCTTTGAGTACTTGAGTAAACGATTCAGTAGCGATTCGGCTGACTCGGGCAGATAGAAGTTCCCTTTGCCGTGCCAAAATTGCTGACATACGAGTGGATGCTATCGGACTCAAGTCCACGGCAAGTGAATGGGCAGGTTAGCAACCTCTACCACAATGAAAAAGTCCATCATGAACCTGAAGCGAGATAAATTTTACCGTGCCACAAACCCACACACC